GTGTCTATCCACGACAAATTCATTCTTAACCTAGAGTGGGCACTAGAATCTAATTTTTTCGGTTAATTATCTTTTTTAGTGACTGTACCTATCATAAAATTTTATTTGTTCCTAATCATAATAGAAAAAAAATTGTGTTATTAATATATGTATATATATTCTAAAAATATTTTTAGATTTGCTACTTTTATATATATATATATATAATGTGTACACTGCCTTGTAATCACATATACAAACTTAAGCGTGGGTAGGAGCTTTGGTCCTTGACCTCCTAGTTATATGGGTAAATATCAAGTTTAATCCCTTGTATATATTTATAATTCAATTTAAGTTTGTCAACCCATTCTTGGGCTATTTACTCTCCTCTAATAAGAGAATGCCATGTTACTGTATGATCGAAGAAAAATAAATTTATTAAATGAAATAAATTAAAATAATCTTCTAATCTGTCAATGACATGTGTCGGGACGCCTTTCCCTAGTGACCTATGTCACCATATAATTAGATGATTGAAGTTATTGAATTAAAATAAAATTAAGACCAAACTAATATAATGTGTAAGTAACATATAACAAATGTATAGTTACACAAAATCTTTTAACTACCACGTCATCTTTCTCGTTAAATGTTAAATTGTTAACGATTGATGATATCATTTAAATAATTAAGTGATACGATTGATAAAATTAAAAGATCAATGATAAGTTTTAAAGGCCTTCATAATTAAGTGTCCAGTAGTATAATTTTTCTAAATTTTAAAAAAATTGCCACATAAGGTCATTATCAAAATCTATTAAAGTGGCATGATTAGACAATCTAGAGCTATATATGTATCCTAACAGCCCTGAAGCTAGTGGGTAAGGATTTTAGGCTTTGGGGCATTGCAATTAGTCATTTAGTGTTTGCTTAGTGGGTGATAAAAATCAACAAATTCTTTTAATTTTGGTCCATAAGGTTTCCTTAATTCCACTTTTTAAAGCCTATTAGGCCCCATAAGATCCCTTAATTCTGCCTCTTAATTCATGGTTAGGGTTTATCTTTGCCCCCCTTTTCTTTTCCCTTTTGGGGATAAAGATTCGTTTAGCCCTTGGGTTTGCTTACTATTTTTCACATTAGTCCCTAGTTTTAGTTGTATGCATTAACCATAACTGTAAAAATAAATTTCAAGTTTGATATTTTAATTTGTAATGCTCTATTTGGGAACAATAATTTAAAAAAACGAATTTGAATTTCATTTGTTAGGTAAATAATGAGAAGAAAACGTATATGTTATGGATAAATAGTTTAAGTTCAATATAATATACAGATGGAAAGAATAAAATTTTGGATTTATCAAATCCAAAAATAAACCATAAATTTCAAAATAATCAATATAAAGACGTCTAACAAATTCATTGATTTATGTATAAAAAAATAAATTAAATAATTTCATAATAAAAATTCTACAACGTTCGTCGAGCGTGAATGAGCACCGTTAACAAAGAGCACCATTAAATTAATTTATAAAATATTAAATTATAAAGTACTAAACATATAATTATAAATTAGATAAAAATATAAATTAATTTACCAAAAATAAAATATTTATAAAACATTAGTTTTTAGGGTAAACTGTATCATTGACCACCTAACTATTTACCCCTTTTACTCTAACCACCGAATTTTCAATTTTGTCAACCGGGTCACCTAATTATCTAAATATTACCAATGAAGCCACCTGCCGTTAAATATTAACGGAGGAGATGATGTGACAGTTAATAAAATTTATAGAATTACACATTTAGTCCTCGTTACTTACACATTCTATTATTTGGTCACAACTTTTAATTAATTCAATAAATTTAATTATCAATAAGATGGTGACATACGTCACTATGTGATTGGATGTTTTTTCTTAATATTTTTATGGTGTCATGTGTCACCAATTGAATGAATAGAAATTTTTTTGAATCAATAACTGTTGCTAGTGAGATTTGACCAAGACATAAGGGAGAGGAAGCAAACGCCCCAACCAATTGATTACACCATTCAAACGAAAAATCTATCACAACATAATATATATATTTAATGACAATAAAATAAAGAAAATGACCTAATAAGAACTTTAACATGAAATAATTGAATAATACAATAATATGATGTATATATACAAATATATAATTGATTAATATTTGAATGCATTTTATTTATATTTTAAATCAATTTAATGAAAATAAAAAAATATATTATAATTGAAATATAACGAAGAACTTCGTTGACTTAAAATTTTTCTAATAGTTAAGTGCTTATCACAGTAAGCATTTTGACTCATGTATTGACTTATTTATATCTCGATTAAAGTAAAAATTATATATATTTATTATTTTTTTATTATATATTTTAAGAAAATACGAGGAGAAACTTGATTTTATTGAATTACTCTATTTTAATATAATAATATATATGGCCCAGATGCTCGACCACTTCAACGTTTTCAAGTTTATTTTTTATGATAAATCTTTTGAACTAATAAAAAATTGACACGTAATATATTTAAAGTTTGATTCAGATATTAACTCAAACTATATTGTCTTTTTAAATAAATTACTCAATCATATTAAACTTATTAAATCATACGGATAATTCAATATTTTTGTCCGAACCATATTTACTAGCAATAGGAGCTGTATAATTCCATGTTTCCCACATTATACACGCTCGTGGATAACACACGCCACTTTGTGAAACTATCCAATGCTTGAAGTGACGTAGTCTTCGGGTTCAACTCGACTCCCTCGCCACGTTTGCAATGTTATGCTATCTTACGCCAACCACGCGCCTCTCCATATTTATCCACACCATACTCATACATCAGGGATTTTGTAGGAATTCATTCATATTCTTATAAAAATAAATTAATATTGATATATATCAACACACTCCTTCCTTCCACTTACAAATTTTCATAATATTTAATAAACTAATTTTCAGCAGCTCATGCTGTACGTAGGGATGGCAAAAAAACTCGAACATGATGGGGAAAATCGAAAATCGAATTAAACGGGTCGGGTTCAGGGATGATAAACGGGGACGGGATGGGGAAAATCCATTTATTTTAAACGGAGACGGGGATGGGTTTGGTAATTTCCGCCCCGATTACCCGACCCGATAAATATTAAAAATAATATATATATATATATATATATATATATATATATATATAATATTAATAAATTTAATTAAAATAAAAAATATATATTTATATATTTAATTTAAATAAATAAATAAATATAATATATATATACCCGGCCCAATTCCCGGCCCAATACCCGGCCCAATACCCGGCCCAATACCCGTTTAAATAACCGTTTATGCTAAGCGGGGATACCCGTTTCCCCGCGGTTTTTCCCGATTACCCGACGGTGATCCCTGTTTAAATCCCCGCGGTTTTTTAAACGAGAACGGGTACCGATTTTTTAAACGGGGACGAGAACGGGGGACCAATACCCGGCCCGAACCCGGTCCATTGCCATCCCTAGCTGTAGAATATATCACATTTCTTATGAATTGTTTTGCTTTAAAGTCTTAACGGTTGAGCTATTAATCGATTATATGACCAAATAAAATATCTAATAAATAGGTATACTATTTTTTAAATAGTACGAGTAATTATAATATAATATTTATTTAAAATATTTTTAATCTATTGAAAACGTATATATGTCATGCAAAAACCTCTCGTGAGAATAATATTCTGTTTTACTATCAATATCACTTGATGAGTTGAAATTCAACAAAAGTTTAGATATCAAATTAAATCTTAAAATTAAAATTAAATATATAATCAAATACAAATTTATTTAAATATCATACTTTTTCCGTCCTATTAAATGTGTGTTTTTTGTTTTTTAAATTATTTCATTTAAAATGTCATATTAGAAAAGTCAATAAGCAACAACATTTATATTTTATTTTTTATCCTTGTATGTTTCAATTTTTTACACCTATCAAAATAAATCATTCAATAACTTTTAGGGATATTTTTGTCATTTTCTTGATCAAATGTATATCTTAAAATTATATGCATAGTCAATAAGAGACACAAATTATGAGACAAAGAGAATAATATATATTAAATTTATATTTATATATTAAAATATACATTGAAAATTATTGTGTAAATTAAACAAATATATTTATTTTAATGATATGGTATTATTTAAGGTTTAAATTTTAAAATTACATTTTTTAAATTTCAAACTAAATAATAAAACGAATAAATTATGTAAAGAAAATTAATATTGTTTGTACATTAAATTAGGGGCGTGTAAATTCAGATATTAGATCCGATTTGATTCAAAAATTCGAATATCCAAAAATTTTGGATACTTAAAATAGTGATCCATAAATTCGAATATTCGGATCTGAATATAAAATTTAATTTGAATTTAATGTAATTTATTTGATATCTATACTATATTTTATTATTCACACACAATAAATAATTAAATATCTTACTTTTTTATTTGATTATAGCTTTAATGGGATTACTTATTTATTATACTAAAGGATATCTAAAATCTAAAAACTTATTTTTTTCTTCAGATTTTTGAATAATTCAAAATTAGAATTTATTCGATCTAATTATCGATTTTTTTTTCTGAATATTCAATTCAATTTATCTGAAAATAAAGAGTGATCAAATATTTGAATTTTCAGATTAAATCACTGGACTATGGGATTAGATCTTTTTGCACACCCCTATATTAAATAATAATTAATATATATTTACCTGTTAATTTGGTGTAATATTTATTTATATACAGAACGGGAAAAGCCGAGGCGTGAGCCGTGAAGCATAGGCAACAAGCCAAGGTGCACAAAGCAAAATGAAACCCGACGAAAGAGAAAAAGTGACGGGCACGCGTCGAATCCACGTGTCTTGTCTTCATTCACCATTCACCAGTTCCTAGCCACGCGCTTCCCTGTGTACCCTTTTCTCCCGGCACGCTCTTTCTCTCCCCTAAAAGACACTTCTACAAGAAATGCTTTCATTTTTCTTTTCCTTCTCCCAGTCGTACTGCTAAATCCCTTTTTCTTGGTTCTTCTAAGGTTATTTCACCATCTTTGTCTTATCAGTTATACGTCGTGTCTTTGGGTCTCCAACACTTGATCTTGAAATGGGTTTTGATTCATTGAGATTAATTATTTTATGATTTTTTAAAGTTACCCTTTTTCTGTATGTATCTTATTTACTTGTTTAATCCAAAATTTTCAGTATATTCGATGGAATTTCTGGGTTTTTGTTGTTGTTGTGATAATCTGGGAAACCCTTTTTTGTGTTTGATTCGTGTTAAAGGGTTAACACTTTGATTTGAGAATCATGCAAAGTCAGCTTGCATTGAATTACAAAGTAAAACCCAACAATTTTGTTTCAATCTTCTAAGTTTAGTGTCCTATTTATTGTTTTTGTTTCATGAATCATCAATGGATGAGACTCTGAATTGTTTATTTTCTTGTTGTTTGTAGGTAAGTTCTTGGTGGTTTTTGAACTTACTGATAAAACATGGGTTCTGAGTCTCCAGCTCCATTGGTTGAGCCGAAAAATGCAGCAGAGAAGACATCTGTTGGCAGGTTAGTGCTTTTGAACATCTTAGGAACCAACCTTAGTTAGTTAGTTACCTCTCTGTTCTGTAATTTTTCTGGTTTGTGTCTGAATTCATTTCATGGCTTATGTCTGTTCTGAAGTACCGTGTGTTGGATAAGTCTCTTTATCCGATATGCCAACCCCAGTTGGCGAGCTCGAATAACATAGATTGTGACCGAGCCCTAACTCATTGTAGGTTTTGATTTTAAAGATTATGGAGCAATGTAATCCATCAGTTCCTGACATGATTTTCCTGTTGTTGACTGAGGTTATTAATGTATATTTAGTTTCAAGCCTTTTGGATAGCTGAACTTCGGTAATTGTTCGTTTCTTGAACTATCGGTGTCCGATACCGAACGTCTCATCCACCATGGATACGGGGATATTGAATATACCTGTGTTAGAGTAGTCTTCGTACACTCAGTATGCTCGAATCTGAGTATCGGTAACATAGTTTCTTGGAATGGGATTTTAGCTAACATGCCCATCTAAGCATATTGAGAAGCATCTGGTTATGGTGGCAATGAAAATACGTGGTGAGTTTGGCTTGTCTGAAAACTGTTTTTGTGATGCAGGTCTTGTGCTCCAAAGAACAAAGGAAAGGTTCCCAAAAGAATTCACAAGGCTGAGAGGGAGAAGCTCAAGCGTGAGCATTTAAACGACCTCTTCCTTGACCTGGCTAATGCTCTCGGTAATGTCCTAAGTTTGTCTTATAGGTCTTTAAGACTTACTGTAGTATTTAAGAAATGATTCTTGTTGATGATTGGCATAGGCTTCGGTTTGTAAAATCAGTTCTTGTTGTGTTTGAAGATTATGGTATTTCTAAGAGGAGTTTTTTTTTGTTGCAGATCCAAATCAACCGAACAATGGGAAGGCCTCCATTCTGTGCGAAGCAACTCGACTATTAAAGGACTTATTCAGTCAAATCGAGTCCCTCAAAAAGGAAAATGCCTCTTTGTTATCCGAATCTCACTATGTAAGACTCCTGATCTTGACTCTGATAATTTTGCTGAATCACTCTCGGGAGTGAATGCTGAATGTCCTTGTATCCATGTTGTAAGAATATGCCTGAAATATTGGCAGTTGAACTTGGAGACGAATGAGCTGGAGGAGGAGAATTCCACCCTAGAAACTCAAATCCTGGAGCTGCAAAGTGAGATAGGAACAAAGGTGGTTCAATCTAAACCCGATCTGAACGAGCCTCCTCCCGATTTCCAGCAAACCCACTTGCCCTCACACTTTCAAGTAGATCATCCTGGTTTGCCTACCGTCGAACCTGCTCTGGCACAACCACCGGCTCTCCTCGTTGTTCCCCTTCATCCCGACATCCAGACTTATCCTATGCTCAATTCGGCGACACGACCTGCCACCAAACCAAACTCCGCTGTCAGCAAACCACATGCTCGATATCCTACCCCGGCAGATTCATGGCCTTCTAAACTTCTTGGGGAGCAATCAGCCATTAGGAATGAGTGACAGAACTTTGATGAAACCCAAGCCAACTTGTAAATTTCAGTGCAAAAGTTCGGAACCTTTTGCTTTTGGTTTAGAACTAGGATGGCAGCCCTTTGAAAAGCTTGTTCATTGCTTGTAATGGCCCAAATGAAATTAATGACATGATTCGATGACTTAAACTTTAGCTCTAAAATCATCAATTTGGTACAATTTGACCCCTTAACCTTTGGTGAAGCACGGGTCTTTTAAATTTTGGAGGGATACTCGGATCAAAAATCTGATCCATATCCATCCCTACACAAATATGATGTCATAAATCAATTAAACACCAATTCAATTAATTAATTAATATTATTTTGAATAGTTTAATATGATTGCAAGATAATATGTGTTCAACATTTTTAGACTATTAAGTATCATGAATTAATAAATAAAATTAAAACATAAATTAATAATAATATTAAATAAGTAATTTATTTATTTTTTTTAGAAAATCAAATAGAAAATCACTATCTAAATACATGCATTTCTTTTACAAATTTGTTTGTTTTTTATTATATTATTAATGACTCTTTTTTTTAGAATAATTATTGCTTAAATGATTTCTGTCGTTATTTTTACTTTAGTGTATATATATAATATGGAATATAAAAATTAATTTTTATTGATTTTGATAAAAACAATACATGAAATATAAAAATCATTCTTAAAATAAACATTTCAATTAACCTAAAATAGTTATTTATAACGAATGTTTCGTACAAAATACAAAAAACAGTTGAACAGTTAAACTCGGGGGAGGGAAAAAATTAAAAAAATAGAAACAAAGCTCGCGCTAACTCACTTCTCCCTTCAATTCTCAGAAATTTTCATTCATATAGATTTTTTTAAAAAATGATTTTTTTTGAAAGAAATCGAATCAGATAATGCCGTTTGATTCGTTTGTGATCCTTGATTTTGAAAGTTTAAGGTTTAGATCCAATCTGATTCGTCAATTTATTGGCCCTTTGAATGCCGATTCGACGATGTTAATTCCTTATTCAGGTAACTATTTTTTTCCGATTGAATTCTCAGATTTTATTGAAGCTTAATGATGGAATGATCTAAGAGTTTGTGTTGCTAACTGAGTGAAATTTGAATCAAAAAAAGGGGAAAGAAAATATTTGAAGGAGTTTTGGATGTTTAATTTCATATAAATCAGAACTAACGGTAATTTCATCCGATTTATGTGTTTCTTTCTAGTTAATTGCTTAAAATGCAGGTAAGCCCCATATAATAGGTAGGTGATGGTTTGGAATTTTTGGCGGGGGAGGGGAGTTTTCACAATTCATTTCAAAGCTTTTGGAAAATTGTAGTCTGATTTGGAAGTTTTTGAGGTAGAGAGGATGCCGTCATTTGAAGCTTTCTCATGATGGAATAGTATGAACTGCATTCTGGTAGCAGACTCAAGGAAAAGTTTTATATGGGGCGGATACGGGGATTATTCTTTCTATATTTTCTAGGAGTTTGCTGTTGTTCTATGCAAGGGTTGGACTTGATATCTTCAGGTGAATGGCTCAGTTCCAAAGGAATATTTCTGAGAGGGATTTTGAACAGGTACCCTCCCTGTACTAACCATTTTTATGGGTTTTTTAAAATGAATCTATGTTAATGTCACAACTTGGTCCGGGTAACAAAATTTGCTAGCTATGATTGTTGTAGCAAAATTAGTTTATGTTGATTCAGAAGCATGTGATGTACAACATTGATAGAGGAGTCTTTTAATTTAGAATGTTTTCTCTGCCTAGAATGAGATTATAGATGTTATAGGCCGAGTTACAAACCCTTTTTGCAGGCCATTTCAACCCTTAAGAAAGGAATGTATCTACTGAAGTATGGACGTTGGGGAAAGCCTAAATTTTGTCCATTCCGACTTTCAAATGTATGTTGCCTTGACTATCATATTACTAGTTCTTTTCTTGATGTTTTCTATACTGGAATTGCATTGAATATTATTTTACCTGAGAACACTTAGTTATGAACTTTTCAGAAAATACTCTCATTTTTCTTATAAGGGAAAAGTAATTCAATAAGAAATGAATTTAGTGATTTAAGTTTTTTTTTTTTAATTTCAGGATGAGAAATCATTGATTTGGTACGCCGACAAAGCAGAGAAACAACTCAGACTAAGCCAAGTTTCAAAGATTGAATCTGGACAGCGTACTGTAAGTCTGTATCTTTCAATGCCTTCTGCAGTGATCTGTAACTTTTAGGTCCTCAATTTTAGCACAGAGACCCTATCTTAACAGTGTTAGTATTTATTCACATTCTGAACATAAAAGGAGTTTAAATATACTCTTAACTCTTCGAAACTTATGCACAAAAAATGACGATTGAAGCTACAGACTCTTTAGGAGCATCTAACCAATTACACATTTTGCATGAAGGAATCATTTAATGCCTTCTTCTATTGAGCTGTACTATTGTGTGCTCACTTTCAGTGGATATAGAACTAGTTTTAACGTGAAAATGTTATACCTTTGTGTCAATATAGTTTTTAATACCTGCCATTTGCGGACAGTACTAAGTGTGACTATTGAAGCTACTGTCTCTTTAGGAGCTTCTAAAATCTAACAGATCCTATTCTTCTATATATTCTTTTTCGAGTATTGTAATCTCAACCATGTGAATTATCTTCTTGAAATTTTTTTTAGACTAGAGCAGCCTATGGAACCAAAAAAAAGAAAAAGAAAAAGATTAGAACCGTCTCAACAGGATGCAGAAGTGACAGAAGCTTTACCGCATGGTTTTGCAGGCAATATTCCAGCGTAGCCCTCAACCTGATAAAGAACAACAGTCATTTTCTCTTATTTATAACAACAGATCCTTGGATTTGGTTTGTATTCTGTACTGCTTTTGACCTGTTGATATCATTCTTTTAGATTATATAGGCAACAATTTACTGTTTCTCGGCTTTAAGCTTCAACTGTACTATCTAATACACGCAGAGCAAGTTCATATTTGTCGCATTCAAATATTATAGTTTATTATTGTGGGCTCACATCAAACTTGTTTTAAGACTTTAAATTTTAGGACTTATATTCTGATAGAACTATTTTGTTTTCTTATAGTTTTTAATTCTGCAGTTTCAGTTCTCAACAGTTGATCTAATCAGTTTTGTCAATGCAAGAGTCCTTGTGTGTCTAAAAGTCTACCATGTCATATTTTGTTTCTTACCCATTTTTCCAAGTGATGATTAGGAGTTAGGATTGTGTAGAAAGGAGCATGAACTAAGTGATCTTAGTGGTTAAGGGATTTGTTATCTCTCGAGATTCCGGGTTTGAGCACTGTGTATGCCAGTGATACGAGTGTTCATTGTTAAAGGATTGAAAGTCTTTGAACATATATTACCTTGTATTCATTCAGATTTATCAAAAAAAAACTTGGATTTTTAATTGTTTTTATTGTTGAGAGAATGAATAAACTTCTCATGTTCATTAATTTAAAACTAAAACTCATATTTTTCCAATTATTTTCTTTCTAATATAACATATATTTTGATTTTGATCATTGATTTATTTGCTACCATCATCTGAATCCCAATATATAAAAGTTAACTCTATTTAATGGGTAATGTTAATAGATATGCAAGAACAGGGATGAAGCTGAGCTCTGGTTTACTGCTCTTAGGGTCTTAATTTCAGAAGGTGACAATCGTAGGCGAAAAAGTGATTCAACTAGTGATAATACATCAACAGAAAGTCAATCTAGCTGTACACAAAGAAATTCTGTATCTATCGTGTCACGTACAAGTAGTGACAACATTGATAAGGTTTCTTACTATGGAGTGCCAGAAAATCCAATCATTTTCTATTTTTTTCTTCAATTAAATCTTTCCTGCTTTGCTCATTGTAGGATACCAGAGATACCCAAACTGTTTCACACGACAGCTCTCCACAGCGAAGACTGGGAAAAGCTTTTTCCGAGGTTATATCATACGCTTCTATAATTCATAGCTTAACTCAGACAGAGCCAGTTGCCAGGCATACAAGTTCATTATCATTAGGCGGGTTAGAAAACTCCTCTGTTGATTCATTTAGAAGTAGTTTATCCAGCCATAAATCTTCTCTAGAAGATTTTAACGCAATCGGTGGTGTTTTTATCTGGGGAGAAGGAGCTGGTAATGGACTGCTTGGTGGTAGTCACAAAACTCAAACTACTGTTACCAGAATAGATGCACTTTCACCCAAGGCTCTCAAATCAACAGTGCTTCTAGATGCTCGCAATATTTCTTGTGGGAATAAGCATGCTGTTTTAGTCACAAAACAGGGGCAGATCTTTAGTTGGGGTGAAGGAACTGGAGGTAGGCTTGGGCATGGAGTTGAAGCTGATGTCTCTCAACCGAGGCTCATAGGTGCTCTTAGTGGGTCATCTATTGGATTAGTTGCCTGTGGTGAATTTCATACTTGTGCTGTAACACTTTCAGGGGACCTTTATACCTGGGGTGATGGTTCTCACAATCTTGGTCTTCTAGGGCACGGTACTGAAGTTAGTAAGTGGATTCCTAGAAAGTTAAGAGGTGACATGCAAGGTATGCGCGTGTCACATCTCTCTTGTGGAGCTTGGCATACAGCTGTTGTTACATCAACAGGTAAATTATTTACATTTGGTGACGGAACTTTTGGTGCTCTAGGCCATGGGGACCGGAATAACACAAGTTTACCCAGAGAAGTTGAGGCTCTTAGAGGACTACGAACGCTGAGGGCATCTTGTGGAGTTTGGCACACTGCTGCAGTTGCAGAAGTGCTTTCTGAGCTATCTGGTGAGTTTTCATCTGGAAAGCTGTTCACCTGGGGTGATGGGGAGAAAGGGCAGCTTGGACATGGTGATAAAGAACCCAGATTAGTTCCTTCTTTAGTAGCACTTTCGGACACTACAAGCTTTTCTCAAGTGGCCTGTGGCCACAGTATCACCGTTGCTCTAACTGACACAGGGAAAGTGTATTCCATGGGGAATGATGGTCATGGAAGCCTTGGAAGCTCTGGAAGTAGCAAGCTTCCAACTTGTGTCAAGGGCAATATCAAAAACAGCCGAATTGAAGAGATAGCATGTGGTTCTTATCATATCGCTGTACGTTGTTCAGATGCTAAGATTTACACCTGGGGAAAGGGTGAAAATGGTCAATTAGGTCACGGAGACAAGGAAGACAGAAACAGTCCCACAGTTGTTGAAGCTTTGAAAAACAAACAAGTAATGAGAGTGGTATGTGGCTCAAACTTCACTGCTGCCATTTGTTTTCATGACTGGGCACTAGGTGCCGATCACTTTAGCTGTTCTGGTTGTCGAACTCCATTTAGTTTCATCAGAAAGCGTCATAATTGTTACAACTGTGGGCTAGTCTTTTGTAGACTTTGCAGCAGTAAGAAATCTCTAAAAGCTTCTTTGGCTCCTAAGAAGAACAAGCCTTCTCGGGTCTGTGATGATTGTTTTACCAATTTAAATAGGAAAATGGAGTCTCGATCAACTCCTGAATTCACCAAGAATTCAAGGGAAGTCATACATCAGAATGGTAATGAGTTACTAGATAAAGAGTTTGCAAGCCCAACAATTCTCCGTAAGTTATCCAGGCTTGCATCCTTTGATTCATTCAGACAGGCCAGGAGTTGCAAATATGGTAGAAGATTATTTAAGTCGCAGTATGACGCGAGCGGTTTATTAGGAAGTTCTGTGAGATCTTCAACTTCTTGTTTAAGAAGAGTTTCTCGAGGATCATCCCCTGCATCAAGGAAGTCGAGTCCAGTTTTTTCTTCTACAAGAGATTCAATCCATATTGATCTTGCAAATCCAGAGTTACTTCTTGAAGACCCAAAGCACACAATTGAGAGCCTCACCCAAGAGATAAGTTTATTGAGAACACAGGTAATGATAAAGATAGATTAAGATAAGAACTACAACTTATCTGTTTATGCCTGTGACATTATATGTGAAAAAAACATATCAAAGCAGATTTGGTGATTAATTATTACCACTTAGGTATCTAGAAATTTCGATTTTCTGTTGCAGGTGTACATGAATTTACTGTTCATTTGTCATTCACATGCATATGGGGCCTTCACTTTTATTTTTAGTTTCTATTTCTGTAGTTTATTCCATAAAGCAATTTCTTGACAAATTCTCTAAAATGTGCTCTACATTTTCTGTTCTGAATTATTATAAGTGAAAATTTAGAAGTGTAGAGCCCATTCTGGAATCATTGTTGTTTCTATACTTCTTAAATATCTTATAAACATTTATCTGTTACCTAAAAGAAATATACGAAAGAAAAATCAGAGGCATTGTACCTTACTATTAGTAATCAATAGACACCCTGCATTGGCTGCAGGTGTTCCTATGAGTCGAAAGCATGACATTTTGATTCAATGTGAACCGAGATTTCTCACTATTACCAGATTTTCTTCCATTTTCATGACAGGATACTATTATAGCTGCAGTGAGTTATGATGCTAATATTATGGCTTTCAGGTTGAGGATCTTACTTCCAAATCTCAATTCCTAGAAGCAAAACTCGAAAATACATCAAGGCAGTTGAAAGAGGCAACGCATACAGCAAGTGTGGAAGCTGAAAAGAACAATGCTTCAAAGGAATTAATCAGATCTCTAACAGAACAGGTAAAAAAATCTAGGTTCTGCTGTAAGTTTTTACTTAAGTCCATTCAAGAATTCGATTGAACTTCTCGTATATCATCTTGAAAGACATGGTTGGTCAGAAGGTTGGGAACAGTTGGTCAGATATGTGTCGAGTCGTAAGTATTAGAAACCGATGCTTAAAGAAAAATGAGGAGTCAAAACAACATAGAAGAAAGAACACGGAGAAATGCTTTGATTTAGTATTTTTTGCCCTTACGTTTATCCAATATAACAACTATAATGGATTTGATTTATGATATTCTTTGGCAGTTGAATAAAGGTGGTGGAAGAGCACCCGAACAATCAACTCCACCAAGCAACTGAGAGAGAGTTTCACTCACCGAATTCACATTCTTGTTCATACTCCAGAGTCGTACCAAGCTCAGAGTGCGAAGCCCTTTCACATGCTCAACATCTTGGATATGACAGACTCGTACATATGCATGTCATGGGATGTTCAAAGAAACAGCACCAAGAGATTGGAGTACAAGTTGATTAATGGATATTAAGACGCAAAAAAGTTCAGTGAGAGAGAGAGAGAGAGAGGACGTGTTGCCCTGAAACCTAGGCTTCCAAGGGAAAAACTCGAGCCCCATTAGCCTCTGATAAACAGCAGATGCCTTATTGATACGAAGTCGACGAAGAGAATTCGGAAGCTTCATAGGTTTGATTGATACATTTGGTGAAGAATGTGTTAGACATCCATTCCAATGTTGAATGCATATATAACAAAGCTAGATTCACGTGTATAGCCAGCCATGCATTGCAATGCAATGCATCTGTTCTGTTCTGTTCACATTGATTTATACTTGAATTTCTAACAATATTTTGGGGGTCTTTGATAGACAGTGAAATCTCGAAATTCCATTTTAATTTATAATTAAATCAAACCGCATCAGTCAATCATACTCCCTTTAGGCCTTGGTAGAAGCCTTTATATGCACGCAATGAACTCTTCACATGGACTTCAACCACCATAATGTTTCTTAGGGGCTAAGTCTAGAAGCTGCATTTCATCGTACTACTTGTATTTACCCCAAATTAATAAAAAAATATTTCAACTTTTTAATTATTGTCATATTTTTTTCTTTAATTTCTAATGGAATGATCAAATTTCTTTTCAACTTATGTGATCATTTTATAAAACTTCATAATTAAAGGGCGCAACAAAATAATGGTCTTATGATGAGAGACTATTTGAGCATTAGTATTTTATCCTTTGTTCTCAGTTCCGACTTCCGAGGCTTTAATACTTTTAGGGTTACCTTATAAAACCATTTTGCTAGCGCTTGGTAGAGGCAAGCAGCAGTGCCAAAGTGTTAAGACAAACGGCGCCTCTGCCCCACAACCATGGTTCACGTCTCCTTTTACCGCAACTGTAAGCTCTCTCTCCATTCCCTTTCTTTAACAAATCATTTGTTTTTTTTTAACTTTGATCTGCTTTGAATATTTGCCATAGATCTTGTTTTGGTGAAAGAAAATTTGGGTTTTTATTATTTGTGATTTTAGTTAGATTGCATTGTAAATGGAGGGCTGAATGAAGGAGGATCGAGGGTTTCTTGGTTAGCTGATAAATGTGTCGACATTGTTCAAATAAAACTGGGTGTTGTTAGCTGAATTCCTTGTGTTTGTTTTGCTAAATGATTTTTCGGATTATGATTTTGTTTCTCATCGTGATATTGGTAACAGATGGGAAGACATTTAAGAAGCCTCGTCGTCCTTACGAAAAGGAACGATTGGATGCCCAGCTGAGGCTGGTGGGGAGAGTATGGGCTTTGATGCAAGAGGGAGCTTTGGAGAGTTCAGTATGCTCTAAGCCGTATCAGAAATGCTGCAAGGGATCTCCTGACGCTTGACGAGAAGAACCCGCGTCGGATCTTCGAGGGTGAGGCCCTTCTTCGCAGGATGAATCGGTATGGGCTCTTGGACGAGAGCCAGAACAAACTTGATTATGTCTTGCCATTGACTGTTGAGAATTTCCTAGAACGTCGCCTCCAGACTCTCGTGTTTAAGTCTGGTATGGCTAAATCCATCCACCATGCCCGAGTGCTGATCAGGCAGAGGCATATAAGGTGAGCATAATTAACTTTTTGTGATGCCAGATTGCCAGTTAAATGATGATGTAAATCTCAAGTTTTATGCAGTTTGTTTCTGATTTATTGATTCTCATAAATAACATGATTTAGTAGTTAAGTATAGGAATTCAGTAAAACACATCTACAACACTCTCACACACCGAGTTTGAGTAACGTAGCTCTTTGGTGTTCTGCATTGGAACCATTTTGCTTCTGTTTGATTCCTTTGTTATACAACCACGGCTGTTTTTTTTTATTCCAAGTCTAATCTATTAATGCTAGTTTATTCGATTCTATTTCTGTTCAAATCTTTTCGGATATGTTTATGTTACTGCATCATAGTTATCATTTGCTGATCAATACTAATCTCGATTTCCTCTGCTCGCGCAGGGTTGGAAGGCAGGTAGTCAACATTCCTTCATTTATGGTGAGGGTCGATTCTCAAAAGCACATTGATTTCTCTCTCACAAGTCCATTTGGTGGTGGACGTCCCGGAAGAGTGAAGAGAAGGAATCAGAGGGCTGCTGCCAAGAAGGCTGCTGGCGGAGATGGAGACGAAGAAGATGAATAAGTAATGGGACTTTGGATCTTTTGCTGGTAGTCTCTGTAGGGCTATCACATCTAGAAGCTAGTTTTCCATGATCTAGAAAGTAATGTCTGGGTGTTTTACTTTACTGAATTTTGCTAAATTTCCGAGAGAAATATGAGTTTAAGTGTATCCCACATTTGATTAAGATGGCTGTTTGAATTTGATTATCAGAATTCATAAAACAGGTGGTCCACTGGTTTTCTTTTTTAATTATGGGTTATTCGAGTTGAACTCAAATTTTGACCCGAATATTGATCTCTACACACAGCTGCTACCTGCTGGATTTAAAAACCGCGTCCAATGAAAAGTAAACGCAACAATTAAAAAAATCACAGAACTTTGGCAACAATCATCCAATACACCGGCTTTTCTTCAATAAAACTTGTTCAGCTTCTTCAAATATTCATCACAAGAAACTCAACAATGGCTTCCGTTAACCCCTTAAAAGGGTATGACAAAATAAGCCGAAGCGACGTCGAAGATCAAAAGCCTCAACCAAAAGTGGCCTCGAGACGTGCCTCAGCCGCCACCATCATCATCATCTCTGCAGTTCTCCTCTTCACTCTGGTCATCGCCTTAACTGTTACTGCTCTGATGCTGGAAAAACACATCAAAGACAAAGACCCCACCGGCTCAGTTGAGTCAGTCAAGACCGTCTGCAACCTTACTCGGTACCCTGAGTCATGTTTCACCGCTCTATCTCCTCTCAACGCCTCCAAAAACCCCAACCCTGAAGCCTTCCTCGGCCTCTCTCTCCGAGTGTCCATCACCCATCTCTCGGATCTCGCTTCTTTGTTCAAGTCTCTCAACGATCTCCACTCACAACCGGCTTTAAAAGACTGCTTGATCCTGTTCAACGATGCCCTAAGTCGACTCAATGATTCAGTGTCTGCGATGAAGGCTCAGCCGGGATTGACCAAGGGGAAGATGAGTGATATCCAGACTTGGGATCAGTGCTGCAATGACTGATCAGGACACGTGTAATGATGGGTTGGAAGAGATGGGATGGACGGCCGGTGATGAAGTCAAATCTCGAGCTCGAAGCTTTAAAGAGTCTGTTAGTAATAGTTTGGCCATTGCTGCCAATATGCAGAATCTTGCACACAAATTTGGTCTCACCATGCGCTGATATGCCTTATTGCTGGTGTTGTATACACTTTACAAGCGTATTAGTGTCGAATAAAAATAATTTTTGCATCAAATTAATTCAATTAACGGTGTCAATTGAGTATTAGTTCAACTGGTAGCGTTGCTGTTAACAAATTTTGGAAATCGACTGAGTACTAACTCGAATCCGATAAAATAGAATCGATTTCAAATTTCAACTTAACTTTTGTTTTCATTTTCTTCAACTGTAAATACGAGAAGGAAGTTTTAGCGATTGTCTCCAAAAAATGGCTTCTAAAACAGGGCATAACAGTAGACAGCAAGATAAACTTTTTGAGTGAATAAACATGTCAACAGCATCAGATAGCAAACCTGTTAAAATGTTCAATGAGCAGAGTGAGTAGTGGTGGCTGTCTTCTTAAAATCGATCTTGTCGACTTTAACCTCTCCGTCAATGAGTTCATAGACATAGACCACGACGCGTAGCCCGTCGATATCCATCAGGACAAAGCTTGGGTTGACGTCATAAGTGATGCTGCTATATGCGCCGGTAGCAGATCCCGGGTTTATAACAACCCCACCTTCATGTTTGTATGCGGTAAACTGGTGGGTGTGACCTGTCACGAGTATGTCTACATCCAGCTGTCTCTGTAGCATGGCTAAGGAATCTAGGTCACCCCAGGGAATAACCTTGATGCATCAAGCCGCATTAAGAGTGATTAGTGTCGTCTGAAATGTACGTATCAACATAGGTTTGGAGATATAACCCTCCATGGATCCTTCAAATACATGAGAAAACTAGAAAAAAATGAGCATATTCAATGTAGGACACATTCCCATATCCAATACTTAACTCTTGAGACCGAGTAACATAGGTGTAGGTCATCATTAGCATGAATTCACATATTTTTCACAGTAGCGGGAGACGAATGCTTCATTATAAAATTTATAGAAGCCAAATTTATGGCAACCTAATTACGGATTTAAAGTGCAAAGTTATACACCATTGGAAAGATGAAAAAACCATACAAGGTACAGGAGTTCCATACCTGATGACCATGGCACAAACCCAACTTGAATTGTCCAATAGTTAGCATCTTGGTCTCGGGATATCTTGTTTCTTCATCGTATTCACCTCTGGTAATATGCAAGTCAGGGCAAAGAGTCTTCAAGTAATCTTGAACCTCCTGAAATTTTAGTCCGAATTTGCTTAGCCATTGGTAATTATAATAAGAGAAAGACAGCTTAAAACCTTAAGTCATTAACTCTGTACTATTCTGCCACTGGACAGCAAAACATTATAACTACTTAATGCTATGTTACACGGACTCTTTGTTTTCTAAAATATGACACATTTTCCGTATACATATTCGGAGATAGAGTTACTGTCCGACGAATATATGGAAAAACTTAAAATCAAACATACTCAAGATGGCCTAAATGCATTTGAGACCAAACATCAGGGGCGTGGGGGCAAGGTGCGCGACCGCGCAGGGCCTCAAAAAATAGAGGCCCGAAATCGAATATATTTATCAGTTGTTGTCATTAATAAGCATAAAAATAGGGATCCCGAAATCGAGTATATCTATCAGTTGTTGTCATTAAGAGGCATAAAAATAGGAGCCCGAAATCGAATATATCTATCAGTTGTTGCCAATAAGAAGCATAAAAATAAGAGTCTCGTAATCGAATATATCTAGAACATAGGGCCCTTTATAAGAATTTGCACAGCCCGACAACCTAGCCACGGCCCTGCCAAACATGATAGGAGGAAGGGAATGTCTTGTGATGAAATCAAGGTAACAAAATGATAAACAGAAGCAATAATATTTAGATAAAATTACAATGATAGAATGAAACAATTATAGATGATCGGTTAAAGTACTAACAGTAGAATATGGTAGCTTCTTCTGCTTTTCCCAAATTCAAACTATAAACATGAAAGAATAAATGGAGAATCTTGTGTATATAGTCTATAATACTGTAATGCATGAAGTAGCAAACAATACACCTTCCCCTATTTGCAGCTCAAACTTCTTAAAATTGGCAAAGACATGAAACCCAGATTAAATT